CTTGGGAAAAGTGCAACCAGAGTGGTCCTTGGAGACAAAATTACAAAATTCCACCTCTCATACTTTGGACATATTGCTAAAAGATGCTATTCCTTGGAAAGGGACATCATGCTTGGAAAGATGGAGGGTCAACGTAAGAAAAGACCTTCAGTGAGATGGATTGACAATGACTACAGCAATGGGTTCTTTTCTTTGGTGTTCTTTCAGCTCCTAGTGGGCGTCGGTAGAGTGGACATGCCAGATGAACTGGGGGTTTGGGGCAGGACTTTGCCAGCTTTTGGTGTGCCGGGTTGCTAAGACCCTGAAAGTCCATGTCCCATTGGGGTCTTTCTTGGGAGATTTAATGTCAGCTGAATCTGGACTCTGGCTCCTTGACACATGGCAGTTTTCAGGGCTCAGCTCTTTTGGCCCCACATGGGGGTTGGTAGAGTGGACATGCCAGATGAACGGGGGACTTGGCTAACATTTGGGCGTGTCGGTTTACTAAGACCCTGAAAGGTCGTTTCCCATCTATGGTCTTGGGAGATTTAATGTCAGCTGAAACTGGTTTCCGGCTCCTTGACATATGGCAGGTTTGAGGGCTCAGGGCAAGTGTGGTGTTCATTGGGCCCCACTTGGGGGTTGGAAGAGCGGAAATGGCAGATCAACTGGGGGTCTGGTGGAAGGACTTTGCCAGCATTTGGCATGCCAGGTTGCTAAGACTTATAAGCGACTCGATGGCACATAAAAACAGCAACTATAAACTAAAAAAATCTGCCACTTGATACAAGCTATGCATTGATCAAATAGTTTTAAAAGTTTCTACTAGTCTCTTCCTAAGTTTAAAGGTCTTTTCCTAATTTTTTATGAATACAATCTGTTATAAAGCAGTTTTGAGGGTGACTTCAGATTATTACACAGTTAATTGTAAAATGCTCTTTTATTTAAAGTGGTAGTGGTGTCATGTACCATCGAGTCAGAAACAACTCACGGCTGACCCTCCAACAGGTTTTCAGAGGCAGTAAATCACACAGGAGGAGAATACCTATCTTTCTTCTGCAGAGCAGCTGGTGGATTTAAACTGCCTGTCGTTGGGTTAGCAGTGCAGTTCCTTAATTGTGGCTACCAGAGCTCCCCTGTAAGTACTATAACTATGATCTCAGTATTTATCTTTTTAATATACCAAATAGGCTAATAATAGTAATTTGTTGTTGTTGTTTATCTTAGTATTTAAAGAGAAGTTAGCCTAAGAATTCTTTATTATAAACATTTGTAGATATTTATTTTTTTATAAATCTTAAATTACATTTTTTAAATGTAATGAAAACTATATTTTTAATGCTCTGGAATATTTTATTCAATTTTCAATATGGTGATGAAGGAAGAAGTTCAAGCTACTTTGAAGGAAATAGCAAAAAATAAGGCCCCAGGAATACCAATTGAAGTATTTCAGATAACAGATGTGGCCCTGGATGTGCTCACCAAGTTGTGCCAAGAAATCTGGAGAACAACCACTTGGCCAACTGACTGGAAGAGATCTAT